CAAGTTTCGGGTTAGGTTTGAAAAATATGTTAGGTGGGACAAGGACGTAAAACACTCCAATTAAAATTCATTACCATATAATGGGTGGATGAATACAATACGTGGGAAATTATTTATTTACCTTGAAATTTAAATTCTAACACAACTGCATGCAAATGTCAATGTAAACAAAGTTCCATAAATATGTGAACGTGTAACAAAAACACTCAGAATACTCAGAGATGGTCAATTAAATTTAAAAATTGTACCATATCGACTCAATATCAAATACTTAATATGTGAATAGTATATAATTTCAGACGTTCGTATCGGATTTTCCAGTAAAACCAGTAAAATTTTTGCTCTTTTACCATCCCTGGTGGTATGCTACATAATTATAACAATGTGAGATGTAGTATATACATACGTATGTATGCAAAGTAAATAACGGATATGAAATTTCTGCTGTGAATCTGTGTGTAAATAAGTAAATATAAAATGTATGTGATTGTTTATAATTAAATATATCAAATAATTCTTTATATTAGTTCTGAAATTCATCTTCTAGTCATCATCATTCATTGAAAGTGTTTGTTTTGTTTTATTTGTTCCCATTTCTACATTTAAAACTGCTGTTGTCTGTCTGTCGTTATTATTTATGTTGCTGTTACAGTTGTTTGTTAAATATGTTTAACTTTATGGAAGGATAAATTTATGTTCACATACAATGTATGTATGTACGTGTGAATATAACAAAGTTTATTTTGTCATACGATACATGTGGATTGTAGGTGTACATATGTATGTACATACATACATATGTATGTAAAGGTAAATAATTTTTGAAATGTAAACATAAATAAATGCAAGTGTAAATGTTTATATATACATACATAAATGTATGAATGTGCGTATGTGTGTAAATTTAAGTTGCAAGTTAAAATTTGACAAAATATTATATTTCAAATGGAATATTGTTAAATATTTGAAGATATCAAGTTTGAAATTTTACAAAGGTGAAAAGTAAATAAATTTTATTTGTCTTCTATATAGTTTCCGTTATTATATTTGTAACAAAAAAGGATTTATGTCACTCGGGTTGAAAATGTAATCAATTTAAAGTAACAGGGATTTGTTACTTTTTAATTCAAGTCTTTTAAAACTTTATATATTTAGTTGAAATCAATTATTTTGCAAAGTAGTTAAAGTTTATATTTAAAATTTAAATAAATATATATATATTTTTAAATACTTCTTATATGTACATATGTATGTATTTAGTTAAAAATACTGGCACAACTACTATTGTGTAGTAGATGATTTAAAAAGCAGCCTTAAAGTAGGCAATAATAATAATTTTATTAAAAATTCAGATTATTCACTGTGGGCAAACATCTATTTAAATTGAGAAAAATGTTAACAGTCCGCAATGGCGCCAACAATTTTAAGCTACAAGTAAAATTTAATGAAAATTCTTAAGAACTACAACCAAGAATTATATGTCCAATTTCGGGAGAGTTTTATATGGGGCCTAGAAAAAAATAATAACAAGTGGTCCAGACTATTTTAAGTTAAGCATGATTAAAAATATCAAGCAGAAATTGTATTCAGAGAATTCCTAAAATTTTCTTAAATTTAGTTAAACAGCTGACAGTTAAGGACAATATTTTAGGATATTTCGACTTAAGGGAAAAAGACACAGATTTCCCCAACAAAGTATATATATGTATTCTTGATCCATATGAAATTCTGAGTCGATTTATCTATGTTCGTCTGTCTGTCTGTGTAAAATACGTTCATGTTAAAACGAAGCAATAGAAATTCACGAAATTCACCCAGAACATTCTTTATTATCTTGTACAGTTTGGTATTAAAAATTTGAAAAAAGTACTATAAAATACCTCTTATTTAATCAAAAATTTTATGTTTCTGTGTTCAATATTATTGACAATTCAAAAAATATAATTTGATGAATGAAAAAGTACCAAAAGTCCTTTTCAGTAGATTCTCATTCACTAAGGTCCCTATTAATGTTCCTAGGTTGAACATTTTAGAAAATTAAAAAAGTACCATTTATGAGATAAAAAGTACTAAAAAGTTCTCTCTTAAAGAATCTTATTCAATGAGGACCGTGTATGTTTAATAATCATGTGTTTTGAATTCATATTAAAGAACATACAAAGAGTATCATTTGAAGAAAGAAAAAGTACCAAAAGTGGAATAAATTTTACCTAAGTGGAAAGTACTAATAAAAAGAGTAAAATTTTTCATCTTTTCGCTTAGAAATATACTTTTTGAGAATTAAGTTTACAAAATATTCAGTATTTAAATCTATATATCACAGATAAAACTCAAACTATTCAAATCTGCATTCATTTGTTCCAGAAAAATAATGCTTTCAAAAAGTACCAAACAATTTACTCGAATTTGGTCCTATATAGGCCTTAGTATTCGAATTCCAAAATAATATACCAACAGCTTATTTTGTGTGAGTAAATAAACTACTTTTACAAATTTTATAAAAATTGGCTCAATTAGTTCGAATAAAATTAAATTCCCATTTTTTCCCTTTTTGGTAGTTTTTTCCCCAGTGAAATAGCAAAAATTTCATTACAATAAATATTGGAGAGTTAGTTCGTAATTTAATAGGAATACATCAATAAATAGAAAAAGTTTTCTTAATGTGCTAAAAAAATACAGTTTTCTCCCCTTTACACCCAAAAAGGCTGAATTTTTAAGAAGTACGAAACAGGTGTCTCCTAATTTTGGGAGGAATATTCAAAATATTTACAAAAATGTTATTTTGTTTATTAGTTAAAAAGTTATAAAGGGCCAAAAAATGTACCAAAATCACCTTTGTGATTTTTTGTGTCAAAAAAGTACCAGACACCCATCTGCTTGTTTTAAAAGTAGATACATGTGCATTTAAAATTTTTCTTGTATCACTAATATGTTTTGTGTACATACAAATTATTCTATCAAATTTCTTTTCGGATCGGTCCATTATTAGTCATCGCTCCCATATAATCCGAAAATCACTTAAACCCACACATTTAATTGTCAAATAAAGGTATCTTGATAAAATTCGACACAAATATGTTTCGTCTATATATGAATCACTCTACCAAATTTTTTCGGATAGGACCATAATTGGTCATAGCTCCCATATAAGGTCCACTTCCGATAAATAAAGCTATCGGTATAAAATTCGTCACAAATATGTTTTGTGTACATACACATGAATCATTCTACGAAATTTTTCTGGAGAGGTCCGTAATTGGTCATAGCTCCTATATAAAGTCCACTTCCGAAAATCACTTCAACGCATATATTTCATTAATTAATACATCTATTGGAGTAATATTCGACATGAATTTTTTTTACGAAATTTTTTCCTGATCGGTCCATAATTGGTCACAGCTATCATATAAGGATCATTTCCGAAAATTACTTAAACGCTCATTGACAATCAAAGTCATATAATGTGAATAGAAATCATACTACCAACGTATATCTCAATTGGTCCTCTATTGGTCATAACTCCCATATAAGGTCCACTTCCAATAATCACCTAAACGCACATATTTGATTGATATATTAAGCTTTTATGATAAAATTCGAGCTGAATATGTTTTGTGTACATAATATCATTATACCAATTTTTCCCCGTATCGGTCATAGCTCCCATATATGTAAGACCCTCTTCCGAAAAACATTTAAACTCACATATTTCATAGTAAAATAAAGCTATATTGATAAAATTCGACACATTTGTGTACATACATATGAATCATTCTACGAAATTTTTCTGGAGAGGTCCGTAATTGGTCATAGCTCCTATATAAAGTCCACTGCCGAAAATCACTTCAACGCATATATTTCATTAATTAATAAATCTACTGGAGTAATATTCGACTTGATTTTTTTTTTGCATATAAATCATTATACGAAAATTTTTCCTGATCGGTCCATAATTGGTCACAACTACCATATAAGGATCATTTCCGAAAATTATTTAAACCCACATTGACAATCAAAGTCATCGGGATAAAATTCGACATAAATGTGTATATTGTATATATAAATCATTCTACGGAATTAATATACATTTTTCTAGACCTAATTAAAATTAGTTTGACATATGCATAAATGTTAGTACTCTCACTACGGAAACAAAAATGTTATCAAGTTATTTAAAAATTAGATAGTTAAATGGGTTTTAATAAAAAGTAGCTTGCTGGTGGAGGGTATTTAAGATTCGTCATAGCCGAATATAGCACTCTAACATGTTTATTTTAGGACATTTGAAAGAAATTAACAGAAAGAAATTAATATCTTTAATTTTAATTTAAGCAAAATTTTTTCGTAGGGAATAATGAAGCGACTTGATCGTAAGCAAAAATATAATTTTTTTGGACTAAGAACAAAAAAATCCACACCCACTGGTTTAGCAGCAATAAAACATTATAATTAGTTTTGAATAATTTTTTTTTTGTTTTATAGCGAAATTTAGACCAAATATTTTATTAGTAGAATAAATTTACATAAAATATATCGTCACCTGAAATGCAAAAGGGCGTAACAACACTTCAAAATTTTACAGGAGAGACAAAAAACTAAATAAAATTAAAACTATTGTTGTTTTAAAAATGTCTGTTTCTTCCATGTATTATATCCGAACATTAGTAGACATATTTGAATATAAATGTGACTCCAGACATTGTCTTTTGAGATGCTTTTTAGAACATTCGGACTTTTACTAGCATTAATCTTAATAAAAGTGGTGTTCTAAAAATAGAGTTCTAAAAATTTGCGAAAACTTGCATTTCGATGTGGTGGACCACTTGCAATCAAAAAGTCGATTTTAAAATTTTTGGTTGTTATGCCTTTTTGCATTTCAGGTGACGATATGTGTATGAATATTTGGATTATACAGATGTTTGTATGTAATATATACTCCATAAACCCCATTACCACAATAATTTTCCAAACAATTTTTCAAATTCAAATTTTAAACTTACCCTCTTCAGCGGCTTTCTTTTCTTGACGTCTTTGTAAGACGACTTTTTTGAATATAACGGCTGCTGCTTCGACTGCATTCTGTATTTCTTGTTCTCCCAAAGTTGTGGTATGTTGCTTGAAAATAAAAAAAGAGACAAAGTTAAAAATAAAATGTATTTTCTTCTACTAATTGCCTCAGCCACATTTAGCAATAGAAACAGGAATAAAAATAATTGTTTGTTTCTTTTGCTTCTACTCTGGCAGTATCTAGTTGCCACATTTGTCTTGTAGCCTGGCAGATTCAACAATGTAAGCAAGTCCTTTATAACATTCTCCAATTCTTAAATTTCAACTTTTTATTTTTTGTTTGTGTGGCTTTTGGATTCAGCTCACCTTTGAGATTTGAGCATTTGTCTCTGTTCTATTATTAGCGGCATCATTGTCATTGTCAGCAGCAGCATCATCATCGTCATCATCTGGGTCCTTTGAGGCAGCATTGCTTGATTTGTTTTCGTCTCCTCTGGGGGATTTCCTATTGGATTGTTGATATTTGTCTGTAGTTGTATATTGTTGGTTTGCTGTTGTTTTATCTTTTGTATCTAAATTAAACTCATTTTGCTGTTGTTGTTGTTTGTCATCGTTTGGTTTTTTATTCGTTTTCGTGCTTAAATCGGAATTTCTTCTTTCGTTTAGATAAGATTTTAAGTTGGCACCTAAAACGGAAGTTAGTAAACATAACAAATTAAGATCTTAATTATAAATTGAAATGTTTTGTTTATCGAAAGGTTGTGACAAAGAAAGAGTAGATAATGAATAGCAGAGTTATGCAGGATGGATTTTCAGTCCTATATCTCAATCTTATTTATCCAATTCGTATATTGGATAGATTAAAATGATGTTTAAAACACTTATGTTATAGAGAAAACTTCTACATTTCTCTTCCCACATATTCTCAAAGAGAGAACAAAACCGACAACTAAGTTACAACTTACCATCTTCATTTTCGGCACCTTTGCTATTACGTCGTCTCGGCGTTGGTATTTTAGTGTTGGGTCGTGTTTTATCAAAAAGATCAGCCAAAGGTTTAGGACTGGGTATTTTAGTGGGTTCTTGTTTCTTGGGAGCCTAAAAAAGCAAAATATGACAATCAAATCACAAATATCTAATAAAAAATCTAATTTCAAACCTGTGTATCCTTTTCGGGATGAGATAAGGATCGTCTGGTCGTAGGCTTGGGTACATTTGATTTAGCTCCCGAATCCTCAGATATTGAGCGCATTTGTTCTGGCTTAGGTCGATCGTGAGATTTTTCTTCTACGGTCGCCGTAGCATTATCATTTTGTGTCATCACACCTGCTCCAGATGTTGATACATTTTCAACATTTTGTCCTGCAGCTGCTTGCAGTTGAGAAAATTCTTCTTGTGGTATCTGCAAATCTCTAGATTGTCTACGTCTTAAGCGATTGTGCATAAGGGGTGTACGGGGCAAAGCACCACCGCCAGCTGTTAAACTTGGGCCCAAAGAATGTTGTGCCAATGAACTATTGGCATCTGTATTATAATAACCATAATTTTGATCGTGAGTCAACATATTTTCAGCACTATGCACCATGGGTCTTTGATAAGGTTGATAGCTGCCATCATCGGAACCATCGTTATAAATAATGCGCGGCTCACTACTAAAGCCAGTATTGTAAGTTTTCTCATATTGTACTTCATCCGATTCCAGAAAGCTACTGGTACTATCTCCAAAATAGTCCACATACTCGGGGCGTGTGTCTTCTTCTTCGGTGACATTTTGAAATTGGTGAAACTGTTGCTTGGCCTCGCCGAATGTACGTACATGACTATCTGTTGGATGCCCTATCATAGAGTTTTCCTTCAAACAATCTTGTCTTACCAGACGGCTGGGCGAACGACTCATGGAACGACCAGCTGTTGGTATTTCTGGCAATAGACGTCGAGATTCTGTATGATGGGTCTTGGTAATGGAATATTCCTCATTGCTGTGACTGCGTACCTTAATCATCTTGGAATGATCACGATTGTGATGTATATTAACACTTTGACTACTGGAATAATGTTCGGCCGTACCTACCACTGTGGGATCCGATACTCCAACGGCTGGAACATTTTGTTGCGACAAAAATGGTCGAGGATTTTGTACATTGGGAAAGAGAAAGTTTTGCTTTTGCCTCGGAGAGATGGGTAGGAATTTTTGAGACCCGGAATTCGGCCCATGTACTGTCAAGGAGTTGCTATTGAAAGCCTCTGGATTTGGTAATGTTTGCTGGCGCATGAATTCGGGCGAACGTCGGAACTGTGGAGATGTCTGACGTTTGGGTGGAGATGTGGGCAAAAGTTTAACATGTTGATCGGGATTTGGTAGTGTAGCTTGGCGCATCATTCTGGCCTTAGGTATAGTAGGAGCATACTCCAATTCATCGGTGGATGATTGTGATGGCTGGTGCTCATAGGGCTGTGTTGATTGTTGTTGTGGAGGCGTTTGGAAATTTGTGGTTTGTGGCAACATTTTTCCACGATGCATGGGTGAGGGATAGGCGGTAGGTGGCGAACTGCCTAAATGCATTTGTTGCCCTTGGCTTTGACCAGGCTCAATAAGATTACAAGGAAAGGAAGTTTGTCGTATAAATGGTGGATAGCGTTGTTCTCCTGGAGAACGTTCGGGTGAGCGGCTGTAACCGCGATTGGGCGATGTTGACAAATACATCGGTGGTTGGCATGGATTTGCCGGTAAAGTTGATTGTCGACGCACCTGATATTAATAATTTACACATTTTACTAAACGTTTTACAAGAGAAATTACATGATACAAACTTACCTGTAAACGATGATGCGTAGGTGGTGTGGGTTGTCCTGCTGTTTGCTGTGGTTGGGTCTGCTGTTGCGTAATTTGAGCTGGTGTCTTCTGCGGCTGTTGTATGTAATTATCACAATCACTTGTTTCAATATTAATAATATCTTCACTATTATAGGCCGTTGGATATAACGGGCCCTTTTGCATTTGATGTGGAGATGTGGGGGCAGTAAGATTAACACTATTATAATTTTCTAAATTCGAACCACTACCACTGAGATTGGGATCATTATTTGCTAGAGATGTGGGTAAAGTAGACTGACGTAAGACACGACGTTGAGGATTCACGTGATAGGCTGACGATGAACCCGACGAATTAACTCCTATAGCACTAATTGTTATGGCACTTCCCGTATTATAGTTAATAATGGGATGATTGCGATGCAACGAGGGCTGATGATGCAGATTATGTTGTGGATGATGGCGAACATCCAAAGAGGGATAACTACCAGCTGATTGAGCTTCAATGAGATTTTGCTGCTGCGGATAAAGATTGTCGGCAACAGGATTTTGAGCGTTTGGATTATTGGGATCGTCCTCGGGATCTAATGAATATAAAATAAACACAATTAAAGTAATGTTGAGTAATATTATGAGAGTTTTATGCTTACTGGATATGGTCCAAGAACGTCGTATACTTTTCCTCAAAACGTCACTGGTGGGTAAATGATCTACGGCGCCACAGGATCCTTTTAGCCAATCTGTTGAAGCTGCTTGTATTTCCCTGCAAGTTGAAAAACAGTTGCATTTAAATATTAAAAATGAAAACATAATGTCTATTTTTTCATTTGTAAAAAATTAGATGTTTTCTGCTTAAACTTAAGCTGCGTTTGATATGAAATCTCTATGCGAAATGACAGCATGAAATCATGCGAGTAATAAACTGACAAAACAAACCAAACATCCGTTGAAAATTTTACAAAATACATCTATACAGACAGACACATATACATAGGAATACACATTTAAACGTTTAAAATAAATTAAATACATAAATGCGAGTGTAATTTATTAACAAACCAACCCAATATCATTTTTGGGTTTTCAGACAAAATGAACTTAAAGCCAACAGCAATTGACTGTATGGTAGAGATGCATTGTTGTTGTTGTCGATGCTAATAAGCCAAAGTAACAAACAGCAACAATTTGTAATGCCAAAACATGCAATCATAGATTTAAACTTACGCACACACACGCTCTAAAACAGTCAATCAGACAGATTTAGATACATTAACAACATCTCATTTATTAACATTAGAAACATTTGCACATCATCATCAGCAAATACACACATACATATATGTATATGTATGTATATTAATGTAAATATGTATCTAATTATTGAAATTAAGAGTTAAATAATAAACATTTTACAGACTTCATTCATAAATTTGTAAGATGTTTATATTTCTTATAATTCTTCAAATAAACTTTACCAGAACTTTGAACGAAATATACAAAATTGACTACAGTGATTGAAAAAATATTTATAAATATTTTTTTAAACAGATCTTATAAACGCTTAGAGTTTAGAATAAAAAGTTGAGATATATTAAATATTATCCTAAATATGCATAACTAGTAATGATCAGACCAGGAACTAAACGAATTAATAATCCTAATATCCAACTTGTTTATTTGTTCCATAATCACGCCCGAGTGGCTGGACCGATTTTCTTCAAATTTGACTGAAATCGTTGTCAATAGGCTATATTATTAATTAATTGGGCCATTTAGACAACGGATGTGTATAAAATTTAGATTTCAACAACGAATTGTTGCAATATTGTCAACATTACATAGTGTTGTCATAGTTTGACAATGGATGTTATTGAAAAATGATAAACAGTTTGGTGACAATTTGGTACCAGGCGTGTATATTTCTTTTTCCCTCTATGTATGCATATTGATATGTTTCATTTTATATATTGGGGTTTTCTTTAAGTTCGATTTGTTTTGTCTCTCACTGTTTATATTAGATAGTAGGAATACTTCTATATTTGGGAGTAAGTACATTTATAATACGCCAACACTTTATGGGTTGGAATTAAGCACCTTCATTCTATTTAATAAAATTCGACATGCATACATTTACACAAATACCCGACAGTTTTAATGCAATATTAATTCCCAACAAAGTATATACATTAGTATAAAGGAAATTCCGATAAAATATTCATTATTATCCTAGAAAGTTGGTATTTAAAATCACCCAAATCGGTCCACTACGTCTAAAGTTATAAAAAGTAGATACGAAATTTTGCGATTTTATAATCCACTATTAATAGTTCGACTTTTCGAACTGCAGGGTAATAATCGCCCCCAAACCAAATACAGTTTATATTATTCTTCGTTAATAGCAAACACAAACAAACATTTCAACAAGTGCTAAATACACATATTGCTGCTCTTAATAATTGCATTTGTTCAGACTAACCAATTTTGGCTTTTGATATTTTTACATGAAATATTTTATGATTTAGTTCTTGTCGAAATGTACATCATTTTCAATAAGTAGCATTAATTTGCCTGTGAAAAATTCATAGAAAATTTTGATATTTGGAAATTTACTTTTAATTCTTCTAATGTGGGCTGCACTTGTGTTCACATTATTGTGGGTGATGTTAGCATTTCATTTAGCCCAACTAATTTTCTTAATAATTAAATTAGCTTTCCCAGTAAATAGTTAGGTTGGATTGAATAAATTTCTTAAATAATAAATGTGCAAAAATTTGGAAAGATTTAGGAAATACCCTACACGATTAAGGTAACGGCACTAAAACTTTAGTATGGTACATATGGTCCTAATTTAAGTGGAATTTTAAATTTCGGATTAATCTAATTTGTATGTCAAAACTTTGACCTAAAGGGCAACATGCCTTATGCAAAACTTCTAAAATGTTTAGAGGTTCCAATTATGTTTACCATGTGTATTTAAAAAAAATTAATTTGGGTGACTTAATCTACTGATGTCTATTCCTACAAAATTTCGTTAATATTAGAATACGAATTACAGACTTTTTGGTGTTATCGAATCAATTCCATCATGTGCTTTAAACATAATGATCACGGAAAGACGGACGGAGTTTAAATTGAATTCTGATTAATCTCAAATCATTGATATTAAATGGTTAACGATAAATTATACTTAATATAATTAAATCTATTGGTTATGTGGTAATCGATACTTGAATAATTATCTGTATAATCATAAAATCTTATTATAAATGATTGTTTACAATATATTGTATACAAACAATTTAAATATAGTTTAGAATAAGAATCAGATAGTGTTAAATGAGATTTTGTATTTAATTCTAAAATTGATTATACATATTAATAACAATATTTACTAACATATGTGTTGCCCTGCAGTTCGGGGTGACTGTCTCGAACTAATGGAAAAAATTATATTTTATATAAATTAAAGTGATCGAATAGTATTCAAATTGAAGTCAACATGTATGTATATGTATTTAAATTATAGCCACATTTAACATTCTTTGTTATTATTTGAATTTTATTAATTTAAATTTATAACAGACTTGATTTTGTAAGATTTTATAGACGTAGTCATAATTTACACCTTAAAATGACAAAATTACTTCACATAAAATTTATAAATTACAACAATAATAATTAAATAAAATGTACCAATACATAAACTATATTATATATATATAAAAGAGTAACTTTACTGACTGACTGATTCATTATCGCACAGCCAAAACTGCTGATCCTAGAATCATGAACTTTTGTCAGTAGATGTGTTTTTGGTTATGTATATCCACTAAGGAGGGATTTTTGAAAATGTGCATTTAAAAAAGGGAAAAAACGGGTAAAACAGGTTTTCTTAATTATCTTACCTAATATTAGTGATACAAGAAAAACTTTAAATGCACCTGTATCTACTCTTAAAATGATCAGATGGGTACTTTTGTGAAATTCGTACTTTTAAGGGGTAAAAATGTGTAACAAATGTTATTTTGGTACCTTTTGTGGTCCTTTATAACTTTTGAACTAATTAACATAATAAAATTTTTATAAATATTTTGGATACATCTCCCAAAATTATGAGAAACCTGTTTCGTACTTTTTTAAAATTCAGTCCTTTTTGGGTGTAAAAGGGAGAAAACTGTATTTATGGTACTTTTTTTAGCACATTAAGAAAACTTTTTCGGTTTATTGAATTATTCCTATTAAATTACGGACTAACTCTGTAATATTTATTGTAATAAAATTTTTGCTATTTCACTGGGGAAAAAAGTACCAAAAAGGAGAAAAACGGGAAATTTAATTTTATTCAAACTCATTGAGCCAATTTTTATAAAATTTGAAAAAGTAGTTTTTTTACTCACACAAAATAAGCTGTTGGTATATTATTTTGGAATTCGAGTACTAAGGCCTATATAGGACCAAATTCGAGTAAATTTTTTGGTACTTTTTGAAAGCTGGAACAAATGAATGCAGATTTGAATAGTTTGAGTTTTATCTGTGATATATAGATTTAAATACGGAACATTTTGTAAACTTAAATCTCAAAAAAGTATATTTCTAAGCGAAAAGGGGAAAAATTGTAAACTTTTTATTAGTACTTTCCACTTAGGTAAAATTTATTCCACTTTTGGTACTTTTTCTTTCTTCAAATGATACTCTTTGTATGTTCTTTAATATGTATTCAAAACACATGATTATTAAACATACACGGTCTTCTTTTTAGTACTTTTTAACTCATAAATGGTACTTTTTTAATTTTCTAAAATATTCAACCTAGGAACATTAATTTTAACATACTGAATAATATTCTGTAAGTGAGAACTATTTGGTAATTTTTTATTCTTCAAATGGTACATTTTAGATTCTTTATAATGGTTAACCGGAACACACGGCCCTTATTAAATGAGAATTTATTAAGAGAGATTTTTGTTTTTTTTTTTTTTCGTTTTTCCGATGGTAATTTTTGATATTTTTACGATATTGAAAATAAAATTTAAAATGTAGGGACCTTAGTAAATGAGAATCTACTGAAAGGGACTTTTGGTACTTTTTCATTCATTAAAATTATATTTTTTGAATTGTATATAATATTGAACACAGAAACATAAAATTTTTGATTAAATGATAATCTGTTAGGGGTATTTTATAGTACTTTTTTCAAATAGTACTTTCGAAATTTTCTATAATGTGGAAGGTAAATGAATAAAACTAACTAATAAAACACGTGATATTGAACGTATAAAACTGAAACATTAAAAAAATGTTTAATCAATTTTAATTTTCTATAAAAGTAAACAAAATTTTGTATGTATTTAATTTAAGTTAGGGTAGCGAAGCACCCAGGGTATGCTAGTATTTATGTATAAAAGCAAAGCGTGTACTTGACATCATGATCTTGTCTAATTAACAATGAACTTTTTTGTTTTGCGTTAAAACCCAAACACACACTCGATTTTTTATTAGTGTTAACTTTTATGGATTGCAATGGGATGGTTTACAAACACGTGTTGCTAAATCACAATTTAAAATAGACAAACAGACACCAACAATAAAATTTCGTTGGACGTAAATATTTCTAATGATAAATGTTTATTTTATTGTATGAAATCACACAAAACGTTTTTTGTTTTTTGTTTAAAAACATAGCACAAGTTTTGTTTAAATTGCAATGTTAATTTGTTGTGGTAGTTTAAGATTTTTATAAATGTTTAACTGATGGATAACATT